CAATTTTATAGCAAATTTATGCATCATTCCATGCTAAATTATCAAATTACCTCCAGTCACGTCATGGAACTTGCATGACAAATTCAAGACAAAACTTCAGTTTCATTTAAACAACCATGGTGCCAATTAATTTTAATGAACTATAACTATTTTAGTTATACACAACAAAAAATCTATATATTTTTAAGCCTTTCTCAAAAGGCACTCCTCCTATTTCCTTTAAACCCTTTGTTTCCTAAATAAGTACTGATTAATATGTTAAAAAAAACCTACAAAAACGTGTTGCGTCATTTCATTATTTTTTTCAAAATAAAGCATGTGACTGAAAAAGCTTGATATAAACAACTGTAACTGTTTTTTGCTGCAATTGTGTGAAGCAGAAAATGCAGCCAATGTCTAAGGTTGAACTTTGGAGATGTGGAAAAATGCCATTGCAGATTTCTTTAGAACTATGATCAAGTCTCCCAAAAAGAATGGAAATATTCAACAGAAAGTTTTAGAATTTAGAAAGTTTAAAAACAAAGAAAAGTTACAATGAAGTAAAGAGGAAATATTCTGCACTAATTTAGATCACTCTTCAAATTTAAGCAGATACGTGATACTGATGTTGAGACATTGAGTCTTATCTCTTCAACTGAAGCTTGTGCTCAGGCGACTCTCAGGTGGATGTGGTCTACTGATGAGGCTTTTGCACAAACTTGCGAATTTCATGCCAGATCAAGTGTCATTAAAGTGAAAGATGTACATACCACATACCAAATAATTTTGAAATTTATGCAAATATTTCAAGTATTTTACTTTTATAATAATTTGATATAATTTGCATTGAACAATTTTGTATTAAATTTTGTATTACTCTGTAGGACTCTTTCCACCTCTAGACGGATCTGACTGCACTTCAAAATATGTACACACACACACACACACACACACACTGTGGCATGAGAGAAGTCTACAGCACACACCTCCAGCCCTCAGAGGCTGCCCTGAAGCAGTAGATGTCACATTAAACATAATGAAGACAGCAGAACTTGATGGACAGCCACAGATTGCTATGACTTATGACTGGTTTATTTTTTTATGTAAAATGTCTTCCAGTTTTCTCCCCAGCACATTAAATTTGACACCGAAGAGTCTAAATAGTCCTAACTATTCACCAGCATAATGTTTATGTGATAAAATGTATCCTCCATGTAGAAAAAGAAACTGTGAAGGGCTCCATGTGAGTCCACGCATCAATCCATCACTTTAATAATGACATTAGTTTTGTAGCACATACAGAATAGTTAACAGTAGTTGTCTAAATGTAAAGACTGATAGCTGAATAACAAGCCTGGTGTTGAAAGGCTTAGAGCCTTAACATTCATGGACCTGTCAGCAGGTCTGTACTTCCATTTCTCACTCCTGTAACTCGGTCATTTTGCATGGTTCTCCATACAGTGACTGAATCATAAGTATTCGGACGTGAAGTTTAATAGGTTACTCAGTAGTATGATGTATAATGTAGATCTGTACACTTGAGCAGTTACTGGTTTGAGAGATATTTGCTGCTGGATGTATTTTACTCAGATGTTCTCTCTCCTCTCTGGACTAGTGGGCTGAGGCGTGGCCCCACAGGGGCAGAACTTAACCACTGTGAACACGGAGCTTTACTACACTGTTCACATGTGGATTAAGTCCTGCTGCTGCAGAGCCAAAGCTGTACGCAGTGAAAGGTTGTTGTATTTCATTTGCACTGTGTTTCTGAATGTTTGTTTTCATACATTTTTAGTGAAAAATGTCCCGACTTTATAGGAAAAGTGAAGAAAAACAGCAAAAAAAGTTAAATGGTTCTCACAAAATAAAGTGCTTTATTCTTGTTATGTACTGTATATATCTATACAGCAGTGTGCCAATATCAGAGACCACACTTTATTTATTTAATTTCCAGTCAAATTGGTACAATCTATTCATTTATCAGTGTCAGGCAAAAAGTAGAAATATATTTAGCAGAAAATTACACATAAGGTCTATTTTTTGGTCTATTGTCTTTTCTCAGTGAGGCTTCTGAACAGTTACACATCCTTTCAGACTCAGTGTTGAGTTGTCTCCTCACAGTGAAAGGATGAACAGAAACACCTGTGGATTTTTTCAGATCTAAAGCAAGAGTGGAATTTTTCTCCTCTCTCTCAAAGATGAAAGCTTTAAGTGCTGTTTATCTCATGGTAACAGTTTTGGTGGTCTACAAGGTCCTGCACAGTTATCAGGAGTCCCATTTCCTCAGTTTTCTTGTTTCCTCATTTTTTTTTTCTTTGACTTAATGGATTGTCTTATATCTAGTCAGAAAAATCTCCTGAAAAATTAATAAAGTGGTCTCTGACATTTGTACAGTACTACGTGCATGTAATATATATGAGACACATTAATCCATATAGGTATGTACATATTTATATATAATACATACAGTACATATAGGCCATATAAATGGCTTCTTGTCCTGACATTGTTTAAGCAAAACATGTATGTGTGTGTGCATACATTTGCATTAAAGTGGCTTATGCATGTGTGTACTGGCTCGAGAGGGTGTGTCGGCGCCTTGCAGTATTCACATGGACGCACTTGCATTCCAGCAGGATTAAGAACAGTGTATTTGTGTATAGGTGTGTGTCTGTGTGTGTGAGAGAGAGGATTCTGCGCTCTCAGGGTCGCTTGCTTCATACCAGCCATTGGAAATCCCTGGCAATGTGATTCAGTCATTAAGGTTAAAAATCACTCTGCCAGGAATTCCCCTGGCCAGCAGACGAGCAGATTCGGGGGGAGGGGAGGGGTGGGCCGGTGAGGTCATTCTAGATGAGACGGTGGGCCCTGGTCAGCCTCACGCTACCATCATACACAGGCGTGACTGATGCAGGTGCTGTGAGCCAAATCTCAGTTCAGCAGAATGTGTACAGTAGCCTACTTTTAGTTTTCCACTGAAGCTATGAGGCTAATGTTGCTAACAAATAATATCAGCTTATACCCCAAGAAATTTGCGCCATGTGAACTGCATGCCTAAACCGTCACACTTGCCTCACCTGTGTCATGTTGTTGGATAATCTCAAATAGACTTTTTGATGTTTCTGGTATTGTGTGAAATACTAATATCTATATAAACAGACAAAAGTATGGACAAATTTCAGCCTTCAAACTGGTTACTACTGATTTAGCCTTGCGACATACTTCTGCTTTCGTTTTTATAGATAGCAGCATGACATACAGTCATACCACATAAGCAAGTCTGTTTGAGATTATTAACTCAACATATTGGCATATATAAGTAATATGATGCTAATACATGTGACCTTACAAGTACGTCTTAGATACATTAGCCTTGTAGCTCCAGTGAGTAACTGGAAAACTAAACTTCAGGGGAAAATTGTGTATGTTAGGTTTTTTTTTTTTTGCTGAACAGCCACTTTGTCTTTTATAGAGTAATATGTGTCCTGCCTTTGTCATCCATTCGCGGGCCGCCGTGGCAAAAACCCCCCCAAGCCCCTCCTGCTAGCATTTCCTAGGGCTTCCTGTGGCCTAATAAAAATAGCTTTTCAATGACAGACCTAAATGAGGCCAGGCAGGAAACTTGTGCTCACACTTCACCCTCAGCTCAGCTCAGCTGCTCAACCCACAGCGGTCAGCTTGAGTGAGGGATAACTTCACCCTAGATCAGCTCCCACTCTGAGTTAAAGAACCACAGGTCACCCTCTTGCCGGATTGTTCATGGATCAGTGATCTCACAGTCTTTTGGTCACTTCTGTAGCAATAATATTGAAGATATTAAACGAAATGCTGACCAATTCACATCTTACTGATTTTGTAATTGAAAATAACATGTCCTCCACACAGAACACACTTCTGCACATTTTAATATACAATTATTGTATATTAAATAAATAAATAATACATTACATATATATATATGTAATGTATTATTTATTTATTTATTTATTTTCGTATATGTTACACAAAATTGAAGTTATGCACTTGTGAAGTTTATTCTCTGTAGAGGATGTGTTAATTTAACAACATATGTGCTTTAACAGGGGTTTTTGACCACAATATTGGGGGAATAATTAAAGTTTGAAAGTCTTAAAATGAAGAACTGAATAAGAGACCTAGAATTTCAGAGGCTAAGATGAATTTTCCAGTTATTTCACAAAAAGTCATGATGTGCTCATGCAATCAGATTTACTCTGTCATACCGTAAGATGACTTTTGGCTTTTGTAATTATGTTCTCATGGCTGTCTGTTTAAACCGTTGTAAGTTGTAGTTTATCTTTGAAGTACATCGAGTTCTAATCCCTTGCTGCGTCTCCATGTCTTCTAAATCCCACACGGCTGGTGAGAGAAGCATTCCAACAGCGCAATCACCCACAGGGGAACTCCCGGCCTAAACAAACCCTTCCCCCCCTCCCACCATCACCCTGATCATCACTGCTGTCGGCAGCCAACACACACTAAACCACCCCAGTCAGTCCACCTCACCACTCACAATGCACACTGTGATAGGAAGACCAGAGACGGTCTCTGTCTGTCTGTCTGTCTGTCTCTCTCCTTTACTCTCACTCTTTTCTGTCTTTCTTCCTCACTCTTTTTTCTGTCTTTCAATGGCTTTCTTTCCATCTTCCTCATCCTCCTCTCTCATTCTTTCTGTCCCTCTCTCTCTCTTTCTTAAAATCCTTCTCCCTCACTCACTCTCATTTCTTTCTGTCTTCCTCTGGCTCTTTCTTTATTTTCTCTCTTTGTCTTTCTGTCTTTTTATCTCTCACTCACTTTCTTCTTTCTGTATTTCACTCTTTTCTGTCTTTATCCTTTGCTGTTTCTTTATTCTCTTTAATTATCTCTTTTTGTCTTGTTTTTTTTGTCTTTTTCTCTTTCTCTCTCACTCTTTCTGTCTTTAGGTCTCTCTTTCTCTTTCACTTTGTCCCTCGCTCTTGTCTTTCTTTGCATCTTTCTCTTTGTTCTTTTTTCTCTTTCTCTCGCTCTCTCTCCTTCTGTGTCTTTTTCCTCTCTCTGTTTATCCGCCTCTCTCTTTCTGTCTTCTGTCACTCTTTCATTTTCATTTTGTCTCCTTAGATGACCCTGCATTTTCCAGCTTCCCCCTTCCTCTCTGTCTCTTTCTTTTTCTTTCTTTCTTTATCCCTTTGTTTCTTTCTTCCTTTTTCTTTCTCACTCTTTCTGTCATTCTCTTTTTCTCCCTTTCTTCTTCTCGCTCTCTCTTATTCTCTCCCTCTCTCTCTCGACCGTGACTGGTTGTGAAGGGAGAGTTGATTGGATTACTCGAGTTATCTTTCCCACACACACACACAAACACACACATACACACACACCGCAAAGATGGGGACAGTGTGTCTCAGCTGAGGGGAAAACTGGAATGACCAATTATCTTCAAAAAAAAAAAAAGAAAGAAAAAATATCTGGGAAGGAGTGTAGGACACACTTGTTTTCATAGCGACGCCTTTATGCGTTTTCCATATTCACTGACTCGGCCGCTCTGAAGGGAGCCGCTCGGTGGTGACGTATTAGAAAGCTGAATATTGCTTTTGGAGGATGAGGGTTATTTGAGGTATCGAAGCTGTTTGGAGAGTAAATGCGTTTTCCTGATCAGCCCCACCACTTGGAGACATTTACCCAGCTGTCATTGCTCTTGATGGAGTGATGCTGGGCATGGGGAGGATCCTGACACTTTATTCTCTCTCTCCCTCTCTCTCTCTCTCTCTCCATCCATCCATTAATATTTTCCATCAGATCTTTTCCTTCTGCCTCTTTTTTCCCTTCCCCTCATCGAAGCGGTCGTTAGCGCCGGTGAGCTCAGTCTTTCCCTCCGCCTGAGCGAGTGACAGCTCATAGGGCGGCTCCACCCTCAGATGAGTGAGAGGAGAGAGGACGCAGAGGCCTTGAACTTCTCCCTCATCTATTTAATTAACTGCTAGTGTTACTGTACATTTCAAATTACATACATATGTAATAAATGGCTAACACAAAAACATTTTATGTACTTTGGCCACATATTTCCATTCAGTCAAAGTGAGAACAGTCAGCATTTACCTTCTGTATAAAATGCATTTGCAATTAATGTTGACATATTTTCAGTTTTTACATCAAACAACCCTGTAAGTTTATTTTCTGAGTAGCGATATCATTATTTTACATTCAATGTACATTTGATATCTACAAGTTTCTACAAGTCTACAAGCATTTCTTTTTACTCCACTTTTTCTTTTACTCCAATGTTGAAAAATGACAGAAATGTGAGAAAAATATAAGAGTTTTTTTTCCCCAAATCATTTGAATATTGCTTGTTCTTTTTAGGAACACAAATATGCTTGTTTCAAGGTTATGAGTAAGAAATAATTCATGTAAAATTGTGCCAGTGTGGTGATACCTGTGCCCTCTAACTCGAACACCACTTTGGCACGGAACTGCTGGACAGATCAACTTTTCAGTTCACTTTTCAGTTCACAGTTCACTCACACGACTACCGTGTATAACGTCCAGCTGTGTGGGCCCCAGCTCACTAATGGTTTTTAATGAAGTCAACGTGAATCATTAATATTCCTTCCATAATGTGATGTACTTCTGAGCAAAGCACAACATCAGGGAGGCTCTCTGAGCTAGCTGAGAGTGTTCACTCAAAGATCAGTGGAATTGGGAAGTGAAACATGATATTATTGATTTATATTATTTTCCCTGCCGCTGTAAACAAAACTCAGAAGACAATTTAGATGCGGTGCAAAAGTCACTACATTTTGATTAGAGAACACAGGACAATGAGGATGAGGATTTTGTATTTTACATAATATGATGAATCACACTTAATATGAGCAAGGATATGTGGTAATACGATAAAAAAAATGTTTAATCTTGATTTCAGGTTGGCTTTAAGCCTACTAATACACCACTGTTCACTCTGCCTATATGTGCTGAGTGACATTTAATATTCAAGCATCAGTTATTATGTTCATAAATGATAACTCTTCTAAATATGATCTAAATCAGGTAATTCAGCTTCTAGTGCAAAAGAGACCAGTTGGAAAGTATCAGTGTAGATCTGTATGTGCCATTGCATGTGTATGACTGTATGAGTGTACAGTCATAGTCACATGCCAAAGTTTGAACACCCCTGGTGAAATCCAAGTGTAAAAAGGTTAACACATCCTCTACAGATTTTATGCACATTTGAATGCAGTTTCTGTTTTTTGCTGAATTTAATATATTGGAAAATAATAGAAGCAATAAAATTATAACATACTAAATGTCTCACATTGTTTTTATTCCCAATACGTTAAATTCAGCAAATAAAATGTAATTGTGCATTAAATAGTGTTCTCTGTAGAAGATGTGTTCTTATTTTCACTTAGAAAGTCAGCAAAACATGTAATTCAACCAGGGTTGCCCAAACTTTCACCTACGCCTGTGTGAGTGCATGTGTATGTTTGTATACGTGCACAGTTGGTGAGTGTGTAAGCCGAGAAATGTGTGTTTATGTGTATGTTATTTGGACATTTGGCCAAACCCCAAGCAGTGGTGCCCAACCTTTTTGTTTTGGGGGGCCAAGGTGCTCTTAGAGGTCCAAAAATCACAATATACAAATAAAGAAGGAATGCAGGTCACCAAAATAAATAAAGAAATAAATACAAATAAATTAATAATATTAGAAATAATTTAAAATATTTTTTTTTATAAAATTCTAATATATTCTGTTACCAGAATACCTCAAAAATACATTTGTACCCAATTTTGTAAAAAAAATTTAGTCATGACCAATTCCACTTGGTAACTAATGCACACGATACTACCAAGCTAGGAGGGTGAAGGATAACATGTACTTCCTCAGAGACACGTGATGCCACCACATCTTTTCAAACTGACTAACACGTCGTCATTGGACAAAAAAAAAACATTTAAAAGAAAACAAGGTGAGGGGGCGGGGTCAGGGTCTTTGGCGTGCCAAATCAAACGACTTCACGGGAGGAGCTTTGGGCAAAAATGATTTATTTATTTATTTGTTTTTATTTTTATTTGACATGAAATGCAACTTACATATGAAAAAGTATAAGCACTTAAAGATTTCCTTTTTGTTGCCATGGTTAAGTGTAGGGTTTGGTTAGCAGTTGCATTAGCTAATAGTACAGGTGTCAGTAGAAACACCCCACAAAGAGGGGAATACAAATGTCTGTGTCTGTATGAATGTGTCTCCCAGACAGTGACGCTCTCCTCAGAGAATTCTAGCCCCAGTAGTGAGCGAGTGTAGTGTTGAAACAGCTGGGTTCTCCTCTCCGCACTCTTTCCACACGTTTTTCCTTCGTCTACACCCGTGTGTGTGTGGCCTACTTGCACGGAAGCCCATTTACAGTACACATACTGTCTTATACCCTGCTTGTTTATTTACTGCACAGTTTTTCTTCAGCGTACATGTGGCTGATTTTATATTAGGATTTTGCATCATTCTAAAAAGTATACTTAAATCTGAAGAGGATTTGTAGTGAAACTCCTGTGGAGTTTGAGTTAAAAAAAAAAAAAAACTTTTTTAACATCATAAATCTTCAGCTGTAAACGTGTGGATCACAGAAGGTGGGTGTGGGGGTCATTAGCCTGGTGACTCAGCAGAAACAGGGCGAATGACTCGGTACAGTGCAGCTACCTGCATGCTCGGCCGTGTGCGTATGTGTGAGACCGAGTGCATATATGGGCCGAGTTTGCTTACGCACTTCTTGTCTTCAAAGCAAAGTCAAATTCAATGGCATTGAAACTGAGTTGTCAATTAATCCCTAAAAATAAAGACTTCTGAAATGTTGTATAGTTGTTTATTTGTTTAACAAGAATTACAGCTGACACTGAATGCACTTTGTCAAAAATCACATTTTTTTCCAATCAACATATATCATGGGGAAAAAAAGAAAGTTCTTAAAGTGGTGTTTAATGAGTTCACATACTGGCTTATTATTAGGTTATTAATTTAAGACATATTATACAGTAACCAATATGATTTATCTAGTAACTGCAATGAATCTTATAACGTCACTGTCGGAATAAAAGCTATTTTAGTACTATTTTTTTTTCAAGTTTGAAAATGCGGCTGCTGTTTACGCCATGTCAGATTGTCATGACAAAGGGGATAGGAATGCTCCAAAATAACTCTGAATAAAATCTTGGTACATTAACTTACAGTGAAGGTTAATGATGTTTAATGTTTAACAATACTGTTTAATGTTCAGTAATGTTTTTTGGTAGCCTACTTTTTTGGAGATTGGGTTTTTGAAGATGAGGTTTTGTTCCAACAGTGACGTTATGTGGTTTTGTGACTGAGTGAAGTGTGTTTTTCACATTCATATCAGCTCACAGTATTAACCTCTCACTCATTATCAAATTAGATTCTTTACTTTTTCTGTGTTGAGGTGGAAAGTTTGTTCGACCAAGTATGTTGGTACTGTAACTCTCTGTCTGTCTATCTATCTATTTACAGTCATACGCAAAAGTTTAGGCACTTCTGATTTTGTTGATTTTCCAACTGAAAAATTAACACATCCTCTACAGAGAACACTTTTGAATGCACAATTACTGTTTAATTACTGAATTTAACATACTGGGGGGAAAATTACATAAAATGTGGCCTTTGCAAAAGTTGTGGCACATTTTAGATTTTTTATTTTCGTCAATATGTTAAACTCAGCAAATAAACAGAAATTCGTGCACTAAAATTTGCAGAAAATTTCCACAATTAAGTTGTGTTATAATGTAATTTGACTTGGAGTATTCAAACTTTTGCATAGGACTCTATCTATCTATCTATGTGTGAATGTATGTATGTATCTGTCTATCTATCTATCTGAGAAGCAGTTATGGAAACTACACACAGTATTTAGTGCTTGAGCTGCAGTCTGATTGAGGCCCAGCTGCTCCACCACTTTTTCTCTGACTTTCAGCGTCTGTGTAACCTAAACCCTTTAGCAGGAGACCTTCGGCACGCCATAATGGCATGGAGGCGTCAGTGGCTAAGCTGTCCCTCTCTCTCTCTCTCTCTCTCTCTCTCTCTCTCTCTCTCTCTCTCTCTCTCTCTCATACACACACATTCACTTACTCACTCACACAGAATAGCACACTGCACTTGTTCCACTAGCACACTGTTTCCTGGTCCCTGTCCCACTCTTCAGAACTCCACCAAGCGACGGGCCTAAGGCCAGAAACCTCGCCTTCTCTCTCTCTCGCTCTCTCTCCCCCTCCCCTCTGCCCTCTAACACTCTGGTCCTTAATAAGAGCAATATGAGATGAATAATCACCTCAGTGGGCTTCTCTCTGCTCTTTGATGTCTGATCTGTTTTTTTTTAACCCATTCAACTATAAGCATCTGTATGTCAGTCCATACTTTAGTTCTTCGCTCTCATAGCTACACAACTTACGTATCTGTTTCATAATAATTACTGAACAATAACTGAATAATAAACCTGCAACATAGGGTCGATTACCACTGACAACAGCTTTGAAGCATTTCCCTGTACTTCTAAAAGAACTGAAAACACGTTGACTCAAATGACACTAATAATAGAAATCGATGGGCAGTCGTTTCATTTATAAATGTGTTTCTAATAAATCCGTTCTCTTTTTAGGTGGAAAACAGCTGTTTGAAAAAGGGGTTAACACACATTTCCTTACTCTAATTACTTTGTAACATGCATTTTAATTTCATAGTAGTTCTTTAAAAAATTCTGAAGCCTTAATGATAATTATAATTAGCTCTGTACACATCTGTACCTTTCAACGCCACAAACTTAGTGGATCCATTTTTCCAGAGCCTCCTTGTTTTTCCTTGGGACTCTTTTTTTTTTCTTCCTTCGCACCCTTTCCTTCGCTCTCCGTTCCTTTCTGCCCTCTCTGAGTTGTTTGGGCTGCGCGGCGTCTGGCTCAGCCTTGCGAGCCCTGAGAACAATGAGTGGAATGTTTTCGGCTGCTCCGCAACCCGCCTGCCCAGAACTTTTTTACGACCTCCGCTCCCCTCTGCCTGTCAGACATCCTCACACGCAACTCTTGGATGCAGACAGACAGACACACATCCCATTCAGACCTATTTACAGATGACCTTTCAGCCAGACTCAATCTTTCGGTCAGCGTGGGCAGCGCCAGACCCACGTCTCTGCACACCCAAACGTCCAAGCATGACCAACTAAGGCAAATGCTTCTCAATCCTGGTCATGGAGTAGCAATGCCCTGCATACGTTAGCCTGTTTTTCCTTACTCAACACTCAACAAAGCCTCCTCAATGGTTAAAAGAGAAAAGGTGGTTGGTATGGAACGTTTACTCTCTGTGTAGGTTCTTCACACTCGCACGTCTTATTTACAACAATGGCTCCTTAAAGAACCATCCACTGAAGGGTTCTTCAGGGAACCAAAAGTCTATGACATCACTCCAAAGATCTCATCTTTATTTTTAACAGTCAAACACTCACCAACTTCAACACAGGAAGGGTTTATTAATTAGCTGAATCAGACTGAATCAGGTGTGGTTTAACGCCTTCAACTGTAAAGAACCTGTATGTGAGCCCACCCTTCAGTTCTGCTCTCATTACTACATAACTTATGTTAGTTACATTGTATATACCAAATAATTCATACTTAATTACAAGTCTTAAGAACAAAAATGTGCAGGGCAAGGTACTAAAGGACCAGGACTGAGACACACTGAAGCGTCCCACTACCTCCCTACACATCTCCGTAACGCCCAACAAGTGGAAGCTCAAGAAGAAAGAAAGAAAAAAAAAAACAGCGCACAGACTTTTCGGAGTAAACAAAGTCGACCCAATGGTCCGAACGAGTTTTAAAAGAAGAGTCCAGTCACTTACCTGCTACTTTCTTTACTTTTTTTCCTCTTTCTCTCTCCCTCTTTCAGATCCTAAAAAAGGTTTGCTTTGCAGCGAGTCTCGAAGGGAGCGGCCGGCGGTCTCTCAGACGGCATGTGTTTGCAAGGGTGAGAGAGAAAGAGAAAGAGAGAGAGAGAGAGAGTGAGAGAGCGTCTGGGAGCCAGACGGGGTTAGAGGGAGTGTGCGAGTGAGTGAACGAGTGCGGGAAGGGAATTCCGATTTGTATAAACGTCAGAAGGCCCGTCCTTCCCCTCCCTCCCTCCCTCCGGCCCCCCCGGTGGCATGGAGTACAGGAAGAGGCAGGGTGCAATTACACCGCAGTGCTGCTAATAAAAGAGCAAGCTTGTTTCCCTCCCTTTCACACAGCAGACGACAGGCAATAACACACGCGCACACATAAACACCCGGCCCTTTATTCTCTCTGTTTGATGGTTCCAGCTCCTCTCTCGCCTACACTGTTTGATCTCCCGTAACTGCATTTGATCCTTTGTTGAACAAGATCCTTTACAATCTCAAAGCAGTCGTGTACTCTGTGCTCAAACTAGTACAAAAGATTCATATTGGGCCTTGTTTTAAAGCAGTCCACATTTTAAATAATAGTTTGGCAAAAGCCCACATGTACACAGTATCCCCCTTCCCCCAAATTTAGTCGATTTAGCTTTAAGTACGTTGGTGTTCGAAATTGACTTGATTTTTTTATTTATGAAGCTTATTGGCTGATTAGTATCCTGCAGAGCGCATATTTAAATCATCATAAACTTGCCACAAACTGTTTTGAGTTGTTAAATAATCTCAAATAGACTTGCTTGTGTGGTTTTGGACATTGTATGGCATGCTATTATCTATGAAAATATACAAAAAACAGCCTACAAACTTTTGTTCATTTTTATAGCTTTCATTAATTATTAGCTACATTAGCCGAGTTGCTGCTCCAGTGTGAAACTAACTTCGGACACCAAACAAGCTGATCGACTACATTTGGAAAATTATGAAAATGTGATTTTCATCCTACTAGTAGTAGGTAGTAGTAGGCATACTACTATCTATAAAAATGGACAAAGAACCAATTTTATAGAAACAAACCTTATTGAACTTCTTATGAACTTTCGCCTGTTTCTTTTTTTTATAGCTTCCATTAATTGTTAGCTGCATTTGCTTCATAGCACTAGGGCGAAACTGCCTCTGGACATACCTGACTAACTCAAACATATCCTGGCTGGTCGACTACATTTAAGGTAAGTGAAAAATTCTGAAAATTAACTTTTTTTGCTCAACAAATCCTTTGGTGTCAAAGAACTACTATTGTGTATCGACATGACAGCATTCATTCCAACTTGAGCAGCTTTAGCAAAGCTGTTAGTTTGTCAGCAGAGGTGTTCTAAAGTGATTTGTTTAGATCAGGTTGTGTGGGTTTGGGGTGATGTAATTTAGAACAGGGCTAGTTGACCCCTGCACCTGTCTGCTGTTGACAACACACACACACACACACACACACAACCCCCCCCGCCCCCGTGCCGAAGGCCCTGAGGGAGAGCGCTGCTTACCGACAGAGCTATTAGACGCTTTACGACTTCCAGCTTTTCTCTCCTCCTCCAGCCTCAGCCTTCGCTCTCGCTGAGAACAGGCTCCTCTCAGACGTCTACGCCCCTCTAAGTGCTCTACACACGTCACACATTCCTCTCCCTCGCACACACACACATACACACAGTCACCTAGCAACGCACACAAATGCTCGTGTAAGCAGAATGACCTGGGAGTTTTGACTTTGACTTGAGGTTTCACATATCCGTTTTATTGAACTTTAATCATTTATTTTAACTTTTTTTTTTCAGTTCTGGCTTTTTGAGTGTGTGTGGGTTTTATGAGCGTGAGTGTGTCTGCATGTGTGACAGAGAGGCCCTTGTGTAATACCGCTGGAACCCAGACACATGCAGTATCAAATGTCCAGTGTTGGGTTTAGACTGGTCTCGTACGGAGGACAGTGTGCCACGCCATATGTGTTGACAGGTTAGAACAGACTGTAGCTCTTGAACTGTTTGATCTTTTGGAGATGGGCTGTAGGTCAGAGAGTAGATAATTCAGTTAATTAATGCTCCTTTTTGAGTTTACACTAAAGCATTAGCTCCAGGATTCAGATACAGCCTATGTGTTCATACGCTGCACATCAGAAGTTTGGTGACACCATGCTTTACTTTTTACTTTTTCCATTTTCCAATTAATGTTTGCTATTTACTGTTAATTTTTCTGTAAGTAGGAAAAAATACAGTAAAAGATTATTTCATTAACAAAACAATGTTTTTAAATTAACTTGGCCTATTATTACAGAATTTAAATGTGAATTTTTCTAAATTTCTGCATAATTAAATTGTTAAGATGTAAACAAAAGTCATTCAGAGTTTGATGTGAAATCTTCCAAGCTAGAGAAACTTAGCAGGTCAGAATTGTTCACAGTGGTGGAGATAGGAAGCAGACGTCTGAAGAGTTTAATGCCTCCATTAGCTACATCACAGAAAGTCATCACACAAAATGTTTACAAAAATGCTGCTTGACACCTGAGACATTGTTTTATGATAGTTTTGAGGTAAGGTTTTGGCCAAAACACTTCTTTTGAAAATTCATTCTTAATGGAGAGGTACATGCAGAGCACTGTAAGACAAAATAGTTCAGAAAGGAAACCTGTTTTTTTTTTTCAGATTTACCACCATCAGCATTACAGACAAGGAAAGGAAAAGAAATGAATAAAATGGCAATATTCATGTTGTAAACATCACAACCCAACGTTGTAAGTTGGTTAGTTTCTGTACAGTGAACCACTTCACACCAAAGCACTTTGAATAACTTTGGCCAAGTGAATTACGTGGATATGTTGAATAGATCTTCCTTTCAAGTTATTGGAAAGAAAACAAGTTGTTGATTAAAAACATTTTGCAAAACTATGCATCTCCAGACTTTTAAAAAGGCAGAGTACGTGCTCACAATGCTACACAGGAAGAATAGACAATACATTGTGGATGTGTGCGCTTGTGTGTCCAGAATTCACTGTCCTGTTTGACACGTATGTTCTGCTGAGGGTGAGAGTGTCAAACAGTTTATATATATGTGCCTAAAGGCTTTGTAAATGCTTTGAGGTATGTGTGTGTGTGTGTGTGTGTCATGTGCAGTGTCAGTATGACTGTGTGTCTCAGACTGTGACTCATGCTGCTATAACTGACTCTAATCTCAGCCTCGGGCCCCTAAAAATCCAGTTTGGTTGTCATGACAGCACCGATCTAATTATACAAGCATTCCTGAGAGGAAAGAGGTCTTCCTCCAGACTCTCTCTCCCTCTCTCTCCTAATTCAATAGTGCCACAATTACCTATATCTGCTTTCCCACGGTAGTAGAGGATATTACATACAGAACAAGACAAGACAATAGATTGTTAGTGACAAATTCATACAAGAATACTCAACCATTTCCGATAATTACGCCAAATCTTCCACATCACCCTCATCATAATCGTCCAGTCAAAGGTCTTGCATCAGTTTACCCATTAGATACAGAGAGGCTACAGTTCTCCAAAAATTCTTAAACTAGCAACCTAAGGAGAGAAAGAGCCTCATCGCTGTAATAAACACTAATATCTCAAAAATGGTAACTTTACAGGATAAAAAGTTCTTACCTTTTACTGTAAGTTACAGGGACCCATCTGACATTTTTCTTGTATTTTATTCTTTCCTTGAGTTCCATTCGATTTCCATTTCCATTTTTTTCTAGAACATTTGAGAGGGTTTCAACTATTATATCATAATTAATTTTTACATGTGATTGTTTTGTTACTACAGCTGGAATAGGCTCCAGCACCCCACTGCGACCCAGAAAGATAAGCGGTTTAGATGATGTGTGTGTGTGTGTGTGTTTTTTTGTTACTGTGCCTGTAAGACTGATATATGTAAATGACCTTTGTTCTAATTGGCTCTGTACTGTGCCTCATTTATAAAGCAGTCTGGGCTGAAACACACCTTGAACATGAATGGGTTCTCTGCTCGAGACTGATTAAGCAGATATATGTAAATGAGTTGTTTTTAATGACATCACAAACACAGTGAATTAAAAACAGGCTTAATTTCCTCAAACAGACTGTATGGACTGGGGAGTAAACAGAACAGGTTGAAAACTGTACAGTGTTTATAAACTGTATCAAATTATTTTACTTCTCTTTAGTGTAACAGTGCCCTTTAATGTGACTAGATTTTGTTCCAAGTCAGATTTTTTACATGAGAGAAAGAGAAAAAAGGGCCACCGTTACCACCAGTAGTTTATATTTCAAACTGCTGCTGTCAGTTTTAGACAAAGTGTAAAAGGCACTGTAACTGTGAATTTATCACTGCTGGTTTATTTGCGTGGAGTTAATGGGAGTTTTTTTTAGTTTAGTTTTTGGTGGCAAAACAGTGTTACAGTAGGTCTTAAATTTGTCAGTTAGATGATGGGCTACTTATCAGCTTATACATAACTACTCAGTTATGTAGGACTATTTTGCAGGGATATATTTCATACTTTTTAAGCAAAGTGAGCAAGCCAATATACCAAACACAGAAAACCAGTTATAAAGTCTTGTTTACGTTAAATTATGCTGCTCTTCATTTCTACATAACTATTCTGACTATTGTGTATGAAACTCTAGTATAAATGTAGTACAGTTTTGTTTCAAGGACTCATAATCCTATATTTTTTCTTGTATTGTATTTTCTCCGGGCCCTACTTATGACATTTGTGTGAGTTTATCTATCAACAATAATTCATAATTCATTTTTACCTGAACATTTCCAATCCCCCCTTATTCCTTAGAATCAAACAAGCTGTCGTTAATTTTTCTTTTATGACTGATAGATTTCCTCTGTTCTTCATCGTGCCTCATTCAAAAAGCAATCCAGGCTCACAACACTCCTTATAACTTCAGTGAGAATGGGCGGGGCTAAACTGATGTAGGCTGAATAGGCAGATGTATATAAATTTGCTGGTTTCCACATCACAACAACAATGAAATCAAAACGGGTTATTTTTGAAGTTATTTTTAGCATATGGACTGCTCGGACTGGAGAGTGAGAATTTGTA